GAGAGAGAGAGAGAGAGAGAGAGAGAGAGAGAGAGACTTTGTGTGTTTGTGTGTTGTGCAGATCAAAACAGTGGCTTATAATGGACGCTGGGCAATCAGAGATTTGGGTTGTCTAAACAAGAAGCTTTTATTCACTTTTTTTTTTCTTTAACTGCTATTTATGGTAAGGGGGTGACATTTGTATAACTCACATTCATGATCTAGGGTTTTGGAGGAGGAGATTTAAAAGGATTGTGAAAAAAGATTATGATGGAAGCTAAAAAGATATATTGAAGATTAGGAGGAGATCTTGTGCCACTAAATGAACGTTGATTATAGTAAAACTCAACCATAGTTTGAAGAGAGGTTAAGTTAAAAGATGGAACCAAGAGAAAGGAGACGAGTGGAAGGTGAATGTTGAACATGTGTTGCAAAAGTTCTGTTCATCCCTCTTTTCCAGAATTCAATATGGTGTCTTCTTTCTCCCCTTCTCTCTCATCTTCTTATTCTCTCTCTAAAACTGAAATTATAGTTTAAGTCAACATTGTAATTACTCTCATGACTAAGTGGTCAACATGTGATTTGTTAATATACTTTTATTCGTATGTGTATACAATCTATTTCAGAAAATAAAACTGTGAGCAAGTATATACATACAAATACAAGTAATACAGGTGGCTATGGTTGCTTCGGAAGAGAGAATCACATCATGCTTGCTTACTTGATCACATATACCAATTCTGATTCTTAATTTAGTAGAAATTCTGGACAAATACAAGCAAGTATATATACAAATACAAGTGAGAGTCAAAAGTAAATCTATATACAAATACAAGAAAAACGTAAATATACTAATCAAATTAATCTATACGAGATTAATTAGATTATTAATTTAAATACACATGACTATAAGATTTTTTTTTGTGGGGTTTGACATGTATAGTACATACAGATTCTGTGAGATAATAGCGAGTAGGTGAGGGAAGATGTACGTATTTTGTGTTCTAATGAGAAGAAAATGCATGGACAAGTGGCAACCATGCATGCCCGTCCTTTAATTTTAATAACAGAATCCTTCTTTCCTTCATTTAATTTACACACTTTGAATTTATAATTAAATTAGTTTGTCTATTTGTGGATTTTACTAGGTACATTCATGAATCATGAATGTATTGTATATATAACATTCAGTTTGTTTTCTTCTTTAAAAATCAGTTTTAATCTGATAGTTTATTGTCATTTTTAAATATCAAAATGGGTTGAAATTATCCAAACTATTCTATCAAAAGTTTAGTGAAATCTTATTAAGAGGTTTTATGTCGCAAAATTATTAATTAACATAACAATGACATGTAAAATTCCATCAAAATTTCATAATTGAAAAGTAAATTTACAATTAAGTTTAAATATATATAGATACTAATTGTCTTACCTGCACACACTGGCATAATCACTTTACAAATATTTATTAATTTATATTTTATTAATTTAAATGTTCTTTAAATCAAACATAAAATTATTTATATATGTCAGGATTTCATCAAAATATGTATGTCTATTACTGAGTCAAAAATTTTAAAACACTAACTTCTTAAAAACAATTTAAACATATGTTTATAGAAATGTTTTTGTTTAATTAATATTTAGTTATGAAATGTTTTTATCCTAATTTTTAAATCTTATAATAGAAAATATTATTTTCAATTAAAAACAAGAAAATATATTTAAGAATTATCTTATTTTCCCAATTATAATTTGCAATAATAAATAATCCCACCAATGTTTTTAAAATATTTAGGAAATCTATTATGTTTTGAAATATTTACTTTTTTCTTTGAAAGCTTGTTTTTGTATTTTTTTGTATGATATGTAATCGAGTTTTAATTTTCTAGAACATAAACATGAGTTTTTATGGTGACACATATTAGCAAAATTTACTATTGTTAAAAAAAAATTTTTTTACTAAACACTAAATTAAAGTATAGATATAATCCTTTAATGACATATAAGAAGAATAATTTTTATAATATTAATAAGATAATTAATAAGATAATATCAAATATTTGTGTAGATGATTATTATCATATTTAATAAAACAGTTTATTGCATAACACAGAAAATATCATTAAATTTAATTATTAAAAACATTGACTCATCTAAAATCAAATCTAATTTTATATAATTATATAAGATAATATAAAATATTTGTATAGCTGAAATATTGTAATTATCATGTTTCTAAAGCTGTTAATTATTAAAATATATAAAAATATTTAAAATTATTGACTATGCTTAAAATCATGGAGAATATGACAAATCAACAAAATCACTTCATAAATAATCCTGATATATTAATAGAGGAACCTTTGAAAAGATCATGTAACCTAAAATCTGTAGAAATTTTTTAAAAATATATCCTACGTGTCAGTTAATTAGCATAGTAATTTTGATGACGTGTCATATTCATATTCAATTGAAAAAATACTTGGTCCAAAGGCTTTCTAATGATTTCGCTAAGATCCCTAATGTGGTTTATAAATTATTATTCTCCTTTTTTCTTTAAATAAATCCACGGATTTATCTAATGTGGTTAATAAATACTTCATCCGTTTCGAATTAGAAGTCATTCTAGAGGAAAAAATTTGTTTCAAAATAAGTGTCGTTTTAGAGTTTCGAGACAGAATTTATTAGGTTTAGATGATATTTTATTTTTCTATTGGTTGAAAAGTGGTTGGGTGTATTGGTAATTGTGTTTTTATATTGAAAATGTGTAAAATTAAATGTTTCTTTAATTTGTGTGTAAAAACCTAAAATGACAAATAAATTGAAACGGATGGAGTATATGATAACTAATAATTCTGAATGATAAAGATTTGATAACAATGTTTGTATCCTCCATCATTTGTATTTAATTTATATACTTAAAAGAAATTAAATAATCACATTAAGAATATAAAAAAAAGTTTAGATTTTTTCTTATATGCTATATTTTGATTTCTTTAAACGATTATATATTACCAATACTGTTAAAAATCCACAATTAAGTTTTTGTAATCAATAATTTAACTTTTTTTTTATTACAGCAAGATAAAAATAATCATAAAATTATATAAATATAAAGTCTCATTCAATGTTGTTTAAATGAAAACATATCCCCTATATATTAATTAATAGAAAAACATTTTAAAAATTGTAAGATTAAATTAGTAATAATTACAATAGAGCTTTGCTGAATTGTCACTTAATTAAGGTGTCAATTTACTTAACGTGGCAGCTTTAAAATCAATTGAAAAAAATGTTTGTCCAAAATTGAGTAAAGAATTCGCTAGAGACTTTGAATAAACCTCTACTTAGGAGGTAATTTTCAGTTTATTAGTGTTAATATCAATTATCAAGTATCATGAGTAAAATTTAGGGGATGTTAATATGCAATTTTATTTGTATTTAGTACTATTTATTTGCAGGAAATAAATCAAACAAGAAATATTATGTTTTTAATATTTCATTCTAATAAATAATTTTTGGCATCAAAAATTAAACGTGCATACATATTTTTGTAAAGTAAATACGAATTGAACATTGAGTATGAAGTTTGAATTTGTGCATCGAATACCCTATAGCCCTACGATTTTCAAAACCAAATCATCAAAATTGTGAAAATTAATTTCGAAATTAACTGGTTTCCAATTTCGTTTATATTCATTTTCCATTTTTGTGTCCAAAATTACCGATTTTTTTTGGTTTTCGGTTAGAATTAATATAGTTTTCTTAAAAACTCAAATATTTTGGGTAAATACGGTTATTTTGGTTAAATTTGATTAATCTGGTTATTTTAGTTTGGTTATTTTGGGTATTTTCAATGTCTATTTAAAAAAGTTCAACAACTGAACTAAACCAAAAACCAAACCATTTTTCAAAAATTACTCAATTAAACTAAAATCAAGATCATAACCGAACTGAAAATAAAAAGTTTAGATCGGATCGTACAACAACCGCATAATTGTTACATAATTATACTATGACCTACTTAATAATTATATATTGTTATAACATTTATTCAGTGCAAGGCGCGGATCTTATTATAGTAGTATTGATATATCAAAAGTTATATGTCCTAAATTAAAATTTTATCAAAAATTAAAGAAAAATTAGAGCAACATAATTAAATGAAACAAATGATAAAAGTGTGTAATTTATAAACTAAATTAAAAATTTGAAAACGAAAATATAGTGAAAAGGAGAATATAATATAATTAAATATTCAAGATACTGATGATAGTAGTTTTAACTAGAGGAGTCATAAAAATCAAAAATACAAATGTTAGACATGTGGCTACATTTGTGTTTTAAAAAATCTTACTTTTTACAGTGAAAGATAATAGATTTAAATTTCTTATAATTTTTGATATTTCACCCTAATAAAACATATGGTATGGTAAAAAGAGATTAGTAATTGCAAAATGAATTAATAATAAAACAAATGCGTAAAACAGTCGTATATATTAAAACATATGTCAAAAGTAAAGGAACACCTTGTAACTTTTTGAATGAATTCTATTTAGATTTTAAAATTTATTATAAAAAACACCTTGTAACTTTTCAGAAATTGTATTTCAAAAAAACTATTATTCTATATAAGATTCACTTTGATTGTAGTAATCACCAAATGAAATAGCCAGTGATTATTATCCGTCAAATTCATTGAGTACACTAATTTTAACATTTTATTTTCCAAATAATCAAAACTCATAAAACTGACCCAATTATTTCAA